AAATATAAGATGTTTCAAGCAGGTTTCTTTTAGCAGTTGTTAACTTCTCACTCACGTAGCAATAAAATTGTTCGGTGCAGAAGAATACAGTATGCTTTGTACTGAAAAAAGTTGGCATATTAGGCCATAATTGTTTGAGCAAATTCTTAATAATAATAATAATAGAAATAATAACAATAATTAGTGTGAATTTAAGGTTTTAACTGAGCATTCAACTAAGCAAAATTATTTAATTAAGAAAATTAGCGAAAACTTGTTTGGCTGCGGACCATTATTTTTTTTCAATAAAACAAATAGAAGAAATGAATATTTTAAAAGAGAGCGAAAGACAATTGATTTTTGGGAAGATCATTTTAAGAAGATTTTTAACGGTTTTTCATAATTATTTTTTGAAAAAGGGTAACAAAAAAATTACAGAATGCAAAATTACAAATGCGACAGCAACCCATAGAATTAATTTTCTTAATTTTGTCTCAGTGCTGATTTCAAAGACAAATTTATTATAAAATATTACCGTTATTTGAGAGTTGAACATTTCCTCCAATCAAGATTGGTCCTAAATGTATAATGTACGAAATAATGATAAATATAAGAAATTGAAGAAAATTAAGAAAATTCAACGTATTTAAATTTTATTATATTAATTTTTTTTATAAGCGTATAGTTTTACATAAACCGCCAAACAGTATCAAAATTTAAAGCCGATAGTTTTTTAGCCACTGCAATATCTCTGGGAAAATTCTTGCACTAAAATTAAAGAATTTTGGGAAAAATGATTGAAGATATTAAGGAACTAGACGGAGCAAGCGACTGAGGCAAAAGCAAGTTCTTTAGGCTTTTCCCCATTTGCATCTTGCATTAGGTTCGTATAGATTAACTCTTTAAAAAATAAAAATACAAAGAAAGCAATAGGGAAAAACACCCGGTTATGAATTCAGAGGAATTTATGCATAATGGAAAAACTTTAGTCAAATTTGCGATTTTTTTAATAGTTTATATCAAATTAATACCAGTGGCTGTAGCTAAAGATTTCATATTGTCCAAATCCGTTTCTTGTAGACGTTTTGCTTTCGCTCGTCGATTCTTAAATATCAATCATTTTTTAGATGACGACTTTTTTCCAGAATTTCCTTAAATTTCTAACGTATTCTTATAATAAAAACGTCCCAAAAGTGACTTTTATTGCCACAAAATTTAAAAGTTTTTTTTACGTATTATACTTGCAATAAATATATTCCATTAATTTCTCTTGATCGTTGATTTAATGAAACGATCATCGAGTAAAGTTAAATTAATTGTCTACTGGCGGTAGAAAGTTGGTAAAAAATTCTATTGAACTTTCCTTTGTGTATTTAACTTTTCGATAATATAAAGTTTTGTGTATAGGAATTATCCTCTGTGGGAGGTCAAGAATAACGTGCAAAGGTCGTTTAAAATGAATATTTCTTCCGTGCAAATGGTACAAACTTTAATTGTTTCTTGATGAATGTATTAATGTGTCAATTAATAAAAATCATCAAGAATGATAATCAATGATAATTCAATGGAAATTTTGGTTCATTATTCTTTTGATTTTTGCTAATCTATCAAATTATTTAACTGAAATTCATACGCCATTCCGTTATATAAACAGCTAAATTTAAAGACGCACACCACCTGCTACGATTTAATGTTATTATATTTGATAAATAGACCGACCATTGATCAAGCAAATAAATACCTCTGTAGTCCTAGGAAGAACGAAAATAAAGTTCTAAACCAAAATTAATCTATTATCGCTATAACAGTGAGGAAGAAAAATATTGAAAAGTATTAATAGAGTTGGTCTTTGCTTGACATATAGCATAATATGTCCTTGCAAATAATGTATTTATATATAATATATATGAGATTGAAACTTGTGATTTCGTGAAAAGCATTATCCTTGAGTAAATTCTATGATTTTTCGATATTTTGATATTTTTCGATATTTTGATATTTGAATATAAGTCATTCTTCAATATAGTTCATCGCTATCGAAAAATTTGAAATTCTATTTGTAATTGATATCAAGTTTTAAATTGCTAACGAAGTTAACGACTTTTGCAAAAATTATGAAAAAATTCACCCAAAAAATTGCAATTTAATGGGATATGAAGTTGAGATTTTGTGTAAAAATATTGTACACCAAGTAATTAAACATAAAATTAGTATATGAGAAATCTATCTTTCGATAAGCATTTAAACACTAAACAATTGTTACGATAATAATTAGTGGAGAAATAATCATTCAACATTTGTTTCACATAAAATATTCCTTCCAATTAAACATAGCGAATTTTCGAAGCAAATGAAAACTTAAAGTAAAAAAAATTTAAATTTTTTAAAATTTTTCAATTGCTTGAGAACAATAATTTTTGAAAGGAAGAACGTAGGAAATTATAATTTTTTGAAAAGTTTGCTGGGTTTACAAATATTTTAAAAAAAATTTTGGGAATTTTGAAATCTTTGTATAAATATTAAAAAATATCATAAACTTGGTAAAAATGACTTCTGTATTATTTAAAATTGATCGTTCAAATATACTTCAAGTATACTTTTTAAACGAATATGCATACAGTGTTGAAATGATCGCTAACAAATGTTGGCAAAGCTAACAATTAGACATTGGGTGTACTGTAGTTGATCTCAGCATATCTTCCACTGATTCGATCCGTTTTTACTTTTTTATTTTGTCTCAACTAATTCTACATTTACTTATTTTTGCGCTTCTCGAAAAACTGAGATCTTTTTCTCCGCAATAAATCAGTCAATTTCTAAAAATTTTTAATTAGGTAATCAATTTTGTCCAATTTATTAGCCAATCATGAACCGAATATAGTAATTTGATATTCTGAAGTCTTACAGATATTTACGGAGATTCTAAAGATTCTATGGAAAAAAATTCTTGTAATTCTTATAGTAATTTGATAAGATTAAGAAATAAAAATGCTTAGTGCTAATACTGCTAGCAGCAGATGGGCAAATTGCAACTTTAGGCAGGAGGCTTAACAAAGTTTGGTACCATTAGCATTAAATCTACCAGTGAGGGAAAGAAGGATTAATATGAAAATTCTTTATTTAAGTATCAATTATTTAAATAAATTAATAAACGAGAGAGATATAAAAGTAAACGGCTCTTTGCTAGAAACTGTTCAGAAAAAAATTTTTGTGGATAATGATTTAAGATTGTATTAGTAAAGTATATTAATCTTATTCGAAAATATCATTTTTTTGCTTAGCAATTTTCATTTCATTCATATTTTTAATTTTTATGTCAAAATATTCCTAGTCTTATTCATCGAGAAGGTACCTTTCACTACCTAGCCTATTCTTCATATTTATCCTTCTTTCAATAACATTTTGTTCACCATTTCTCGATTATTTGATTCCATTATTACTAGGAGAGGATGAACTTTTCACGGGGAATGGTGTAGGGATAAAATTGCAGATAACTCCTCAGCAACAAACAAAATTTTGCTTTTAATTGAGAATTCAATACTGTGGAAAGATGAAGATTAAGTAATCATGCTCAACCTCAGTATAAGCAAAATAAGATTATCCTATTTCCCTTTTTTCAGCTTTACTGGCAGATTTTTATGATTTTATATTGGTTCTATGAATTTTTCATTCCTTTTCATATTTTTTACCATTTTATGAATTTACTATTCATAAAAAAGTAAAAGTATTTATTAGGAATTGCCGAATTAGTGGTTGTTGAGGAAATTGCTAACAGTAAAATTAGATAAATAAGTCTTTCTCATTCTTTCTCTGAATAAAGCTAGTTAAATAACGATAAATAATAAATTGATAGTAGATTGATGCAATGCAAGCCAGCCTATCTACCTATCGCTTTTTTTATTTCCACTGATTTTTATCTCAATAGAGATTGATCTTTATTCTAATTTATTTTTTCATCCAAAATATCCAAGTATTTATTATTTATTTTTATTATTTATTACTTAATTAACTAATTAGCTTTTTCTTTCTTACAGCCTAATAAGTATTAGATTCAATTGAGTAAAAAATATCAAAGTAAATCGACAAATTATTCAAAGTAAATCGACTGCGAATAATTTTAATCATTCTTGCTTTATTATAAAATTTTTTATCTGAAAACGAACCTTAATTCATTCATTTTAGAAAATTTAATGCTTATTAGTTTAATACTTATAAATAAATAAGTTATGAATAGATTGAGTTGAATCAGCTAATAATAAATTAACTATTTTAAAACAGCTCTTTCAGTCATTAATGCAGATAAAAGCTAATTCAGATCCGAGTACACTACAAAAAAATAATTATATTTTTTTTCAAGAGATTATCAATTTTGGTGGCTTGTTTCGTTGGCTTATCAGATCAGACAAATTTTGCTAGTTAATTGGATAGTATAGATAGTACAGATGAATCGTCGATCGGATGGCAGAACCAGCGCTCCAAAGCAACAACTGCTTAACATAGATAATAAATAAGATATAATTTTTTCTTTAAATAAAACCAATCTTTTTATATTTGGCTATGCGATTTCCATTCAGAGAGTTAAAGAGTGGATAGAAAAAGTTATTTATTGAACAGTAGATTCTCAGTACCAGCAACGTTAATATAGTGGCCTATAGACTTTATTTCTTTATTGATTGCACAACTAAATCTTTTTTTGTGAAAAAATTTGATATGCTTATGCTTAGAATTTTCTTAAAAACATTGATAAATATAAAACATTAAAAATCGGTACAGAAAAAATTGTAATAGTTCCAATGTTGATTGGAATGATTGATCTAATGTTGAAATTGTTTAGTACTAAATTGTAAATTAACCAAAATTTATAACAATTATAAAAAATTGCAAATTATAAAAAGGCAATGGTAAAACATAACGACTACGGTAATTAATCAGCGAAATAATCAGCAGATAATTGCTATGTGTGATGATTATATCTATTAGGTGGAGGAAAATAGCAGAAATTGACATTCACAGCTTTTTTATTATCTTTCAGTATATGATGGATGATAAAAATCTTTTCAGTAATATATATCGGATAAAAAATATAAGATTAAAAAGTCGATAAATTAATTTTATTACAATTCTTTTTATTCTATAGGATAACTTGACGATCGAAATAAAAAATTATTATGCAATCATCAATGAGTCAATTTAAAAAAGATAATAAAGTTGTAAAAGTGTAACAATTATACGATGAACGACCGCAAATAGCATTTAGAAATTTGAGAATTTCTATTAATAAGACTTTTATTTTATTAATATTTTATTTTTTCTTCTTATATTTTTATCCCTGAAAAGTCTAAGTCAAGCCCAAACTAACAATGATCTGCAAGGAGATGACAAACTTAAGAGTCAGGATTTAAGGAGATTTCTTGATTTTTCAATACATTTTAATAAAAGTATAAGATAAGTATATTTCAATATAATATAATAAGAAAATATAAGATAATATAAGATAAAATAAACTCGAAAATCAATTCTTTAACATAAAATAGGATGAAGAATGTGGGAAAAAATATGAAAAAACTAAAAAGATTTTCAAAAAATTCTCCGTTATCACTAACTTGTAAGTTGACTAACCTGAAACCAAATTTTAACTTGTGTCTCCGTTAAATTTAACTTTTTGCTAACTTCCGACCTTTCTGCTATGGAAAGATATGGTTTGCCGTGAAACTGCTGCTCTAAGGATTTCAGCTGACTGCTACTGAATGGTGTCCTTGGTTTTCTGTTATTTTTATGCTTACGCAGTAAAACTGGCGGAAAATTCATTTGTTCTGAATTTCTCCGATCACCTTAAAGAAATAGTTATTTTTATGCCACTAATCTGAGTCAGCTTTTAATTCTGCTTATAAATTTTGCAACTATTTTTAATTTTTTTTATAATATTTTGCAATTTTATAATTTTGGTCAAAGTATTACTTGGCCGCAAAAACTGATACCGAAAATTTCGCTGTGGAGTGAATCTCTTTTTAAAGCTAGATTACCTCAATTTGAAATAAAAGCTGGGCTGATTGCTTATCTATACTTTTATTGCCAAGTGAATCCTTGGCAAAATTTGTTTGATCCAACAATCCAGGAAAGTGAGGCCAGTCAGAAATGATGGGCATTCTTAGAACAAAAAGGAAAGGAAGATCATTTCATTATCTATTTCTTAAATTTTTCAGAAAATAAATATTAATATGGACCTGAAGCCGCCGATGGATTTGAATTACTAAGTGAAGGCCAGGTATAATTCTGAAACATCTGTGTTCGATGTCCGAAAAAAGGGACACTTGTTGATGAGTGAGGAATTGCAGAAAAAATGCCATGGGAAATAGGATGCGGAATATTTGTTGAGTCGGGAAAATAACATTCTCTTCCGAGGGAGAAACCATCAAAAATATGCAAGCCATCAGCTCTTCCAGCAAGAAAATCAGCTGCATTTCCAGGGTGCCGTAATGCCGATTGCCTTTGTATAATAGCTGATGTCACATTAGCTCGGCTAAAAGGTGATGAATTTAAATTTCCTTGATTGGAGCATGAAGCGAAAATAGAGCATCGAGAAAACAGTGAAGACATATTTTTTTGTCCATCGAGCTCGAAATAATCTTTGGCAAATGACGATGAACTTGGAGTTAAATTATTATTTGAGCTTGGCAATGGATTATTTTTGTGCTTTATAGGAAATGATGGGGAAAAAATGGAAACAGGAGGAGAAAATGCCAATTTTGCAGATGAATCCTGTGTAATGGGCGACTTTGAACATCCGGAATTATCAAATAAATTTTGTGACCCTTCTAATGTCGAAATTTCTATTGAGCTTGTCGTTAATAATCCGTTGAATCCGTTGCTATCATTTTCTATGCCTGTAGATCCACTGAAAATTTCATATTAGCTATATCTTTAAAAGGAATATTTTAGACTAACAGTTCAGTACAAAAAAAAGAGTACATGCCTGCTTCAAGCTCATTCAATCTCATATCCTTGTTAATGAGAATAATAAAAGTTTATATGAAAATTATAATGAATTATAAGAATTAAAATACAAAAATTTGAATAAGAATTTATTCTTAATAAAAAAAAAACAAAAGGAGGAACTAGAACAATAACAAAATAAAATATGACACTGCGAAAATAGTTTTAAATCCAAAAAGAAAGATTACTGGTTGAAGAAAAATCTGGATCTTACCTTCGCGAGGTTGATGAATCAGATAAAATCGTGTCAACGCTAAACGATTTGCTTGTTCTACTTTCTTTTAGTATTGTGGAAGTAGATGCTTCTCTTTCATTTGACACCATCGACAAAATATTTCTGAAATCGGTGGTTTTTGCCGACTCCGTTTTTATGAGGATTCTCGAATAATGAACGAACTGAAATGGTTTCTTCCATTTGCATGATTCTATTTTTATTTAGATTGTTTTTTTTTGTTCAATGATAGGTTTGAATATAAATTGGTTTTTTAACAATTTTCGCTGAAATTAATATGCATTTCATTAGAAGGCTTTTGGGAAAGAAAAGTCTGATATTACTGAATCATTGAAATGCTTACAGAAAATTCGACGAAGAAATTTGTCTATGCGCAGTATATCCGATAGTTCAACCGATATTTATTCAAATTTGACAAATGTTTTAAAAAGACATAGAAAGAAAGTGATTCACCCGATCTAAACAAAAACAATCACGTTTCAGAAATGGGTAAGGAAGATCGACAGGATTTTGAAATGATCTTAACGAATTATCAAGATTTGGTAAATAAGTCCGCAAAACATGGAGATATGCGCTCAAACCAGAAATAAAACAAGAAAGATGACTTGGCCCGAAAAATGGAAGCATATAATAGCTCTGATAATTGCATTTTAAAGAAAGATTTAGTCGTAAATGAAATAAAAAATCTTTCGTTTGCTTTATTTGTAAATTCACGAGGCACATGAAAACGGAAAATTTGCAAAGTTGATTATTTTGACCAGGAAACGGTAGATGAACCACACAGCTTATGAGAATTGAAGAATCGCTGACGAAGTGAGACTAATGTGATTAAAGAAGGCGGCCCCTTCCTTTCTCCTTTTCTTGTCTCATCATCATCGTCGTTTTACGTGATTGTCTTCTCTCTTTTAACCCACTAATTCACCGCCCATTTCTCCAAATAATTTAATTCTTGATTAATTTCAACGAACGATCCATCGTTAATAACGACGACGACGACGATTCATTAAGTTTTATGTCCAATTAATGCATTATTATAATTGAAAATGAGCTCAGCAAATATCGCAATTCCCAGAGTTTCACGTATAGTATGCCTGAAAATTTCAATGAATTCCCTGTATACTGTATGTCTTTAGATAATCGAATCGAATATTCTCCCTTTTTCATCATCGTATAGCGAAGAATTCGTTTAAGGATTGCATGATCCACAAAAATAAGCCAATCGATCGGTACTTGTCCATTAAGCAAGGAAGTATTTAGCATATTGACTTCATTTTTCAGAACTCATCTATTTGAGGCCGTTTTTTGTTGGCTATTGAAAATAGCCAACTCCCTCTTTCACTTATGTTATAGCAGAAACGAATCCATCAACTAAACTATACCTTAGGAAATAATATTATTCTTCACTGAACTCATTAAACTGTAGATCAATGAATTTAATAATCGTAAAAAGAAAATAAATATAACAATAAGCGAAAGATTTCTGTATCGAAATTTCTTCGCTCATGCAATCGCTCTGAGAAGGACACTATCTACCACAGGCAACACTTTAATCATGTTTCACCCGCGAAAATCTGGTCCATTAAAGAAGCGCAGGATAGTGGAGTAACTGAATTGGTGAATTCTTCAAATTTCTGGAAATAAAGTAATTAAAATATTCTACTTAATTATTCGGATTATTCCGGAGGAAATCTCGCTTAATTAATCGTGTTCTAAGGATATTTTTTTGCAAGAATTTATTGTTTTGGAATGACATGGAATAAGCAATAGTTGTTGGCTCAATGCTTTAAAAAAAAAAATATTGCTCATCAGTTCAGTAAGAATAAGAATAATAGCAAATAGATAAATATAAAAATGCTTATTTAAATTTACGATAATTTACGACAAGCATGATGAAATTGGTTACTAACCTTCTAAACTTTCAAAAGTCTTCAAAAATCTTTGGCAATGATCTGAAATTTTGACCAGTCCTGCTTTTAACTTCATTATTAGCACTTCATACCTATTCATTTAAAGAAATATTCATTATCAAATATCTACAACAACAAAAAAATCGAACAATTTTGGGTGAGATGCAACACCACTGTATGTATGATGTTGCATGCAGGGTCGCTGAAGAACATAAGTAGGACTATTCATTATTTTCAACCATACCATATATCTATCCATTTATCTAGAAAGATTTGTTTCGAAAATGCCATGATGAAATAATAACGATTGTAAAAATGTCAATGTCGGCACCTTTCAATATTATGGATAGATTGTTAGCCGCATTCTGAAAAACGCTTCATAAAACCACGATTTTTGCCGCTTTTTTCCATTCTTGTTAATTTTACAGATATTGACAATAATTGATATCAGAAAATGAAGGTTCTATCGTTACTTCATTATAATCCATCTTTATTTCATAATTATTCTTTTTATTATTCTTAAATACAATATTCATAATAAATAAAAAAAATAACGCATATCTTTTTTAGCAATATGAAAAATTAGATGAGCCTCACAAGTTTCTTCAAGGAGAACTTAGTTTGTTCGATTTAGTTTAGGTTAATAAAAGTCTTCTTGAGCTAAATAAAGTAAGCACAAATTCTCTAGGTGAATAAAAAATTTTTTTCTCCATTATCACCATTATATTAAAATTTTTGAAGATTAACATTAAAAATATCTAACTTTCATAAAATTTTTTATTGTCGATGTAGATTAGTGACAAATTAATCAGTTGTTTTTCGAAAAGACATTTATCATTATTTCGGTGGTCTTTTTCAACTTCTAAAACACATAATTTCATCTTGCTTTAGCCAGTTTAGTTAAATAGTTTTTGAGAAAATCTTTTACATATCTTTTCTAATTCGCTCTAAATTTACTGATGGATATCTGACGCGATCATTGCAATGAAAAAACTGGAAAAAACCATTTCTATGGTACTTTTTTTAATCCATTTAATCTTAATATAATTAAATAATTATGAAAATTACAAAATTTTAAAGAAAGTAGGCTTTAAGAAAACTTGAAAGCAATGCGGAAGTTTAAGCTGGAAGTCTTTACTAACTTGTTTTCTGAAATTTGAAATTTTTTCTCTTCTATCTATTTTTTTATAACTATTTTTTTATATCTATTTTTACTTTATAACTTTATAACCAATCTTTTAAAACTTAAGTAACCCGTAAAAGAAACCCTTCCCACATCGGTTGATAGAACTAATTAGTAGCGGAAATAGTTCTTCTACAATCAGTTTGAAAGTGCTGAAAGAAAATGTTTTTTCTGATTCCGTAAGCCAAATTATTCTCGATAATTAAATGATTATTCTAGTCAATTAACGCAAACAAATTTTCTAGTATTTAGATTCAAGGTCAGTTTATTAAAGGTGATTTAGAAGTTTGAGTTGATGGACCATCATTGTCTCTGTGGTTGATTGATTACTTGAAATGTGTTTGAAATACCGCAAGGTTTAGGGCCGATTATTATCCTTTCCATCTTCACTCATCGTTTACTCTTGCCTTGGTCATATAGTTCCAATTTTACACCGTAGTATTCATTTTTTTCTTAGCCTATTTAACATATTCTGGGACCATAAAATTAAGATAAAAAAAGCTTTGAAAATCCTTCTATTTAAAGGACTATATAACCACTCTCAAATTTCATTGTCCATAAATATAAAGTAATAAAAAATTTTCGAGTAATTTTGAAAATAATTTGCAGTAGTGCAAGTTCAATTTTTATCACTATTATAAATGATAAAAATGTTATAGATGGTTCAAAAAAATTCATTTTTTTCTTTTTTCTTATATGAATGATTAAATCAATTGTAATGAATCAATAACTAATATACTATTTCTTTTGATGGCATAAATGGATTCTCTGGAACTCCAATTGAAAATTTTAATCTGATGGTTTCAAATAATAAATGAATGAATTTTCTCATATTTTCTAGAAGATATAATTGGGGTCTATTATAAGAGCGCCGGTTTCTTTGATCAGCTACTGGTGAACCTTTTTATATCACAATATTACTCATTTTTGAGGTTAGATCTATTCGATAAAATCAAATGTTTCACAAAATGCCAAAGTAAATCTTTTGAAGCACTTCTTTGTGACAATCGATAGTGGTTTAGCAAAATCATACCATTTATGGCGATTATTGACAAATTTATCAATGGTATCATTCAAAATTCATCACAGAATTTGCAGACACATAATCTTTAATTATGCAAATGAATGAATTAATGAATTAATCGGTTCGTTTTGATCCTTTTTAAGATTACGTATTAAGATTTCCTTTGTACTTTTTATCGAACGGATGTATTAGATTAAAAACTTTCAAGCGCCCTTAACAATTTATTTGAGATTTTCTAAATTGTCAGAGCGAAACATT